CTCAGGGCTCAAGAATCTGTATGCTTCAAAGCTGTGCTAGGCTTTCTTTCCAAGGAAAAAGATATTACCATAGGCTAATGTTATAAGGGAGAGTAATAAGCTTGAAATTGTTGTTTGGCTATGAAAAGATAAAACATGAAAAAATACAGATTAAGGAAAGGTAAGTGTGCATGAGTTAGTCCGGTTGCAGATGCATTAGAAAGGATGTGAAATTATCTAGTTTACTCCCTTAATTTTTCAAAGTGCAAACAGAGACATACTTGTAATCACATTTGGAAATGGACGCACACCTCTGGGTTCTAACCTTGAGTATGGGTTTTCCCTTAAGTCTACTACTTTTGAAAAATCAGGACACTGAAGCTCTACTGTTAATACTCTCAGAACCTAAGTAACCATTACACAGAAGACCACATGCTCTTGTTCTCAACTTGTCTTTTCAGTTTCTATTTTTTCCTCCTTTACTAATAGTTACCCCAAAAGGTCTAAATTATGTGTAGTAGTTGATGGGCATTAATGGATTATTCTATATCATGTAAAGATATTTATTAGAAAATTATGATAATGATTGTGAATGTGTTATAAACTATTATAGGCTAGATAAAAAGACTGAATTAGAGCGAATGGTAGTAAGGTAAATAGGGATAAAGCAAAGTAATTGCTATGGGCACAAGCATGCTAAATAATATTTGAGCTCTATGATATGGTTTGAAGTCCAATCTGTAGAGACCAAATGAGAGACTTATGAATATTGGGCATTCTGTGAGATGTTGATATAGGACAGAGATCTTTTCTACTCTGTTGCCAAAACATTGAACTGGGTATAAGGGGACAGGTACTACTACACCTGAGATTGTAAAGTTCCTCTCTATCAGTTCTCAGCTCCAAGGACTGAAATAGTGTAGCTGATAAATTTAGGATTCACTGGTACCACTGACTAGTGAATTTGATAAAAGGAGAACTCTTTTTCCAGAGGTGTTTGCTGACATCTGCTTCAAGTAATAACACACTTTTTAAAGTTTTTCTCTTGAAATGAATTAATGACTGATGTTTTCCTATTCTTCTCTGAAGAGATCCACCAAGACTGAGAGAGAATATTGTACTGCATAGACTAACAAGATCATTCAAGAGAAAAATAGAAAGGTGCTGTTGGGCTCAAAGGTAGAGGACTGCAGGAGTGTTAATTAAATACTTTACGTGGATGCACCATGGAGAAGATATGGCGCGGTATGACATAAAAGAGAATAGTCCTGTTCATAATTCCATGGCAGGTCATGCTCTTCTGAACTTTCATCTGTGAAGTAAGACTTGTCGAAGAGTAAATGGGACAGAGGAACAATGTCACAGAATTTGTCCTCCTGGGCCTCACTCAGGATCCCAATGTGCAAAAAGCCTTATTCATCCTGTTTTCACTCATCTACATTGTGACAGTGGTGGGCAACCTGCTCATTGTGGTGACTGTGATTTCCAGCCCCTCTTTGGATTCCCCAATGTACTTCTTCCTTGCATACCTGTCACTCATGGATGCTGTGTATGCCACTACTATTTCACCCAAGTTGATTGTAGACTTACTCTGTGAGTTAAAGACTATTTCCTTTCAAGCCTGCATGATCCAGCTCTTTACAGAACACTTCCTTGGTGGTGCAGAAGTCTTCCTTCTAGTGGTGATGGCCTATGATCGCTATGTGGCCATCTGTAAGCCACTGCACTATATGACCATCATGAATAGACGGGTTTGCATCCTCCTGTTGGTGGTGGCTTGGGTTGGAGGTTTTGGACACTCGATTGTTCAACTTGTCATTGCGTACAGCCTCCCTTTTTGTGGCCCCAATATCATTGACCACTTCATCTGTGACATGTACCCACTGTTGGAACTTGCCTGCACCGACACCTATTTCATAGGCCTCACTGTGGTTGCTAATGGTGGCGCCATCTGTATGGTGGTCTTCATCCTCCTCCTCATCTCCTATGGCGTCATCCTGAACAATCTTAAGACTCACAGTCAGGAGGGGAGGCGCAAAGCCCTGTCCACCTGCAGCTCCCACATCACGGTGGTTGTCCTATTTTTTGTGCCCTGTATCTTCATGTATGTTCGACCTGTTTCTAACTTGCCTATTGACAAATCCATAG